GGGTTCAAGAGGTGGGTCCCGCCCTATGACGTAGCACTTTGTCCCGTATAGCACTTAGTTTCCGATTTTCGGTTGGCAACCGGGCTCTGATACCATTTGTAACGACCCGGGTCCCACTTAACGGGCTGTCCCGGTCGTTAGATCGACGACGTACTGTCCCCACTATACCAACATGGGTCTTTTCAGCATGCTTTGTTCTCACTCGCACGCTCCCCTAGAAAATTTCCCAGGGGGTCACCCATCATAGAATTGCTCCAAGTCAAGCACGCTTAACCGTGGAGTTTCTAACATGGACTTCCGGAAAAAAAGGTGTACATTGTTAGTATGAGTAGTACCTATCAAATCTTTTAAACTTTCATGGTCTAGGTATTACAAAAATCGGCATAATTATGAGTCTGAATCTTATCCAATTACAAATGCAATTAGGCAGAGGAGAAGATAAAGAACTACTGATTTATGTTGCATAGAAAGTCCTTTGATTTGCAAGATATATTTGAAATGTTACTTCCTCCATCTATGACTGAATGCTTCTGTTTCCTTTCTGCAACATGTTAATGCGTTTTCACGTGTACTTAAAATATTCATTATTGTCAACCAAATTTCCATGCATCGTCTTGGACCAGGATAAGAAGTGCATAATGATAAATTTGCCCGTGACAACAACAATTGTGGTTTTGAGGAGCATAACAGATTTTATTTACTTAATTCACATCCTCCTTCAGGTAACTGTTGTCACTTCTACTGTTTGGAAACATGCCACAGATGCACACAGAATATCACCCCTCTATGCTTGTTATTTCTGTAGTGAGCTATTGTTAGTAATTTTATTTTTACTTTTTAATCAATTAACAATTTTATATAGAAATAAGAAATTTTTCCTTTCTTCTCTTGTTCTCATAAGCTAAGCATTTGAAATCATATGAATCTATTAGTTTAGTAACCATAGCATTTTATTGATTTTTTCTGTACTTTGGTTTCCTTCGTCCCATTCTCCTTCATAGCTAGTTCTAATTCATTCCCTTCATAAAAAGTTATTCTCTTTCCCTTCCTCTCCCCTCAAACTGAAAACAATACTACTGGCTACAATGCTATAGACATATTATTGTAAAATAGTAGGTTCATTATTAATTCAAAGATGCAGTCCATCATGATGCGTTGCATTTCTTAAATGGTTTTAAAATAAATAATTTAATGAACATAATGATATCATCCCAGGAAATATTAAAAAAAAATAAAAAATGGTTGAGAGAAGCTTGTTTCTTTATTTTACTAATTTTATCTGGCCTTAATATTTTACCACATCTATGACAACGGACATATATTAATATTTAAATTCAAATTGTAGTTATCAGAAAAATATAACTTTTTAGACTTTGTAATTCAATACATTTTTTGTTTGTAACTATGGTTAGATCGATTTTCTTTGATTCCCAAGTAGTTTTCTATTACTTGTGTGATAGAAATATATAAATGATATACAAGTTACTTAATGATTCAGGAAAAGATTAAATGGAAATGCACTTATATATGGATCAATGTACTTCAAAGCCTTTATAACCTCTGATCAATGGCCAGAACATCATGACACATAACCCATATTCATTTTGCAGTTCAGGTTGGCTTATGTTGCTCCTGAATCTAGAGTGGTGGGAGCTGGAGATTTAGTTGATGATCCAAAAAAGATTGCACTCAATTATCTTTTTGGATACTTTATCATTGATTTCTTTGTTGTACTGCCACTTCCACAGGTAAGGATCTCTCATATTGTAACCCTTTTACTGCTAGATGATAATGGTTGTTCTATTCATTTGTTCTTGGCCACATTTTTGATAATTGAAACATGTTATGTCCCGGACCAAATATAAATCTGTCCTGATTAATGTCAAGATTGAGTACTTTTAACACTTGATATTCGTTCTGATCTTCTGGTCAAATCTCATTTTATAACTTGTTCAGTAATGATGTAAAAGAATGTTGGAATAGTGCTCTACTTGTTTTTGTTTTGTTACTCTATGGTTGATCTCAAGCAGGTTTTCTGGCGCTTATTTTCTTTAAGTTTAGTTAATATCAAGGCTGCTACCTGGAACTTTTCATTTGTCTTTTATGATGTAAAGAGTTATATATTACAGTCACGACCCTTTCAAAAAA